GTAGCAGTTTGAAGGCATTTGTAATGTCTGTCTTACTTAACCAAGCTCCAACACCCGTTTGTGTGATGGCTGTAATGACGTGATCAATGGTGGCATATTGAAGGGAAAATTCTTCGGAGGGAATGAGGGAGTTGAGACTTGGGGTAGCGGAGGTATGAGGGGCTGAAAGATCAATAATGAGTCTTTGTTTGAGGGAAGTTTTCCCTGTGACCGTCCCGATGGGGTTTGTACGCCATGATGTAAATGGTGGGGTTGCGAATGGTCCAAACAAAAACCCTTCTGCCAATTCTTGTGCTATTAGTGTATTTACTGCTGTTGGGTTCTGGTTTGCAGACTGTAAATTTGGGCATTCTAGTTGGTCAGTGGGCATATGTATGATGCCTGTGTGGAACCCGTCATTGAATCCCGTGATAAGAAACTCTACAAGATGTCTGGAGGGGTGATTGGCTAGTAGTGCTGCTAGAACATCAATGTTAACAGACGTTAGGTATGGTTTAGGGTACATTTTATTAGGACACATGGATTTAGCATGTGCCCTGAAACATTGTGAACAAATATGCAACAATCTACATGCACTAAAACTACATGTGCCACAGTTAAAATTATTGCAAATCTGTGATTTGCCGAAGAAAATGATGGGACGGCCCAGTTTGTCTCTGGCGTTCTTCCCTGTTCTACCAGCGTAGCTAGTGCTGGGTGCCTGACTGTGGTCGTCTACCGTGCTAGAACAAAAATTTGTGGTGTGTGTAGTAGAAGAGCAGGATACACAAGCCGGTGTTTTAAGCCCTGCGAAGTGTCTGCAAAAAATTTCTGTGTCCAATCTGCTCCAGTTGATACGGGTACCATACTGGGAGAGAGCGCCAGACACTTTGGTGGACACTTTCGCCGACCCACCATATTTGTTACCAAGGTCCACCAGCTTGTGCATGTAACGATCAAATTCCTCTCTTCTATTAGTGTACACTTCACACATAACATCTCTGAATATACCAAAGGCTAAGACAAATTCTGGGATGGTCAGTTTACGGTTCAACCTGGAGTCTTTAGATCTGACCACCACAGATACCTCATCATACATATAAGTCTTGTTTTCTACCACATCCTGGGAGGCAATTAGTAAGGATGCTATGTTGACATCTTTGCCCTCCAGGATGTCTTTCTTGATGTGGGCTGGGATAGTGTGTGCAGGATCAACGTCCTGGAAATCTGACGAGTTAACGTTACCCGTAGCCCGTGGTTCGATTGGTGCCGCTTGTACGGTGTCGGGAAGGCCTGCCTTGTTGAGGGCTGTGGTCACCGCCTCAAGGTTAGCCAGTCTGTCGTTGACCTTGCCCATGGAGCTCATGAGTG